TTTATAAATATTCACCGGCTTACATATCGTTGTAGATGTTGCCGTCGCCAGCACATCATGTAAGGCAATACTTATAATTCCCTTACACATCCCTCACGCATCTTTTCGGACAATGGTTACGCATGTAGCTGTCATGCACCAGTTCAAAAACTAAAAAATAGTTGAAACCAGCCTGACCATGAGTATTGCCGCCGTGAGCAAACCGCCTGCGTCACCACCAGTACCCAAATAGCCGTTAGCCGAGGTGCCTCCGAGTCAAACATAAATCCTAAAAATTGTGTAATTTTCCAAATTAACCTGATGCCTTTCTGGTGTTGTCCGTTGCGTACGTTAAATATCTCTGAGATGCAATGCCGACGGCGACCGCCGTACTTGTACCTTTTATGTACACGCCTGCCGCCCACTTTAATACCAGATATGATGTCTTTGAGAATTTTTGGTGGTGTCCTAGCAATGACACCTTCGACCAGTTGCCGTTTCGCTTAATTTGAACCCTGTATATGTCGTTCTGAAATTCAAATTTAACCCTTTGTTGTTTTACACTGTATTATCTAATATCGTTGCCCTTGGTCACCCCCACATGTTTATCATGTACACGAGCTCTTATACAGTATTTACTGGTTCAGCCTCGGACGGCCAAATAGTATGAGGCATTACCGTTCGTATAATTGTCAAGTTCGGAGCTTATAGATTTGGTTTGATGCCTGAAAAGTATTTCTTGAGTTCCTATCAATCGCATAGTCCTCATCCGTCCAGATTGTGCCATTGCCTAGAGGTGAGGCAACCCAATCTATTCAAAATCCCCAAAATTGCTGAACTAGTAGTCGAATTAGCAGAGTAACCTGTTTATCTTTCTGCATATGTGTCAGCATCCACAAGTTGTCGCTCCGCTTGATAACCCTTTCAATATATTGTATGGCCTTGTCCAACGTAGAAATAGATTGTTGAGCTCAGCTACCAAAATGGTCTAGCGTAGCATGTACCTTTATCTTGGGTTCTTCATCCGGTATCGAATAAGAAGAAAATTATTTCGCCACCCCCTCAGTACGCAATGGCGATTGCCGATAAATTCAAAGCAGTTGTTTCAACAATCGAGCACAGGCTTTCTTGCTCCCGTATCAATTTCATTCATCACGGTAACAAAAATTGCATAACTAATTGATTTTAGTTAGCTTTCTGTAAAGAACGTAATGAATTAATTACAGTAGTTTGGTCGCTTAAGAATGTGGTCAAAACCGACGAACGCTTAGTAAATAGTGTTAAGTCTGAAACAAGTGAACTCAGTCAGAAGTGCCATTGGAAATGGCGCGCCTGTTATTTTTATTAATCACGATCCTATGCGGAACGAGACCTTCTCTACCATCGGGTAATGTGATACCCGACTTTATGGTTTCGGATGAGTCATCACTTTCTTCTCATCAAATTCTCTATTCCACTCCGAGGAACGCTTAGTAAATAGTGTTAAGTCTGAAACAAGTGAACTCAGTCAGAAGTGCCATTGGAAATGACGCGCCTGTTATTTTTATTAATCACGATCCTATGCGGAACGAGACCTTCTCTACCATCGGGTCATGTGATACCCGTCTTTATGGTTTCGGATGAGTCATCACTTTCTTCTCATTAAATTCTCTATTCCACCAAGCGGTCCGGTCCTCTGGTTCGGTCCCAAACTCATCTCTCTGGTCCGATTCTCTGGTCCGGTCCTAAACGCCTCTCTCACGTCCGGTCCTCTGGTCCGGTCCTAAAATCTGCCTAGTAGGGTACTTCGCACGTCTAGTCATCTCTGGTTATGTCCAGTTCTCTTGATAAAGTGTACTAGCTTCCTCACATACAGATACCTCCAGACCCAGACGCACCAAAACGATGGATTGACCTTATAGCCCGAAGGAGAAGATGCAGACACCTAGTCAGCCAACACCTTGCATAGTACCTTATGTTTATGACACCATGGTGGGTTTATGTATGTATTTTACTTGTTCTAGTCATATTTAGACATACTTTTCATACGATCAGTATTGTCGGAGTTGAGCGTTGTGACTCGATGTAAAAGCATCGTCGTCGTTAGGCTCAAAATGCTTCTGATCTTGGTCAGAGAAATCTGGTTATAAATTCCTACACGATGTGTAGAGCACAGCTGGGTAGTTGATATCGTTCCCTGTAATAGTAGAATTGAATTTTGCAATGATGTGATGCCAACGCTGCAGCATACCATTTCAGTTCAACAAATATTCATGTATATGAGTGCCTTATGATCCGTGTGTACGGTAAATCGCTGTCCAATCAGAGGTGGTCATGAAAATGAACCAATACATAGGCAAGTGCTCACAGTTTCTTTCATCGGTGTTGCATACGTTTGCTATGCCTGGTTAAGCGTCGTCGAGAAGAAAATCAGGTGACGTTTGTGTCCGTCGATGAAACAACCCCCCACCAATGTCTTAATCATTTGCGTCCGTTTCCAACTCAAGTGGCACACCTTCGACCGGAAAGTTCAGACGAACACAACTGCCGACACAACTACCTCCCTCATCTGCTCCCGTGCCAATTGGTGTTCTGATTTCCAAAGATCCCCAATCGGTTCCTTTGGCTTAAGATTAGACAACGTCCGAAGTGGGGTCACTTCATGTGCAAAGTTGGATAAGTGCTCGTATAAGAAATTCGCCAGTTCTAACGCGGATGCACTATCCCTTTGACACCGTGAAATTGGCCAGTCGTGACATATTTTCAAACATTCATAAAAAAACAAACAAGCAAAAGGAGGCTGGAGTCTTGGGACTGAGAAAAACACAAAGTCCCAATGCAAAATGCCCCAGCCCAAACCTCTGCAAAATCATAACTGCACATCCCCTGCAAAACACTCATATTGCGTACACACTATTCCACACCAGCTGACAACTAACTGTAGCATCTGAACTGGTATGACCAGAATTAGCCATCCTGCACCACCCTTCATAGAATGGGAGGGCACAGACAAAGAAAGTCCACGTAACGCTGATCGGATGCCAGCCCCCACTTCCTAAACATGTACACACCCTATCCCCAGACTCAATCAGCACCCTCAATCACAGACGAGAACCTACCACACCCTCAGCTTAGGGTCGCATATCTCGACGATCCAGACGTGCGTATGCCCCTACGTAGCACCATATACGGGCAATACCTTATGCTAATGCTTCCTAATATCCAACCCTCACACATCCTGAGTTCCGATCTATTACAAGTGGCGTGCCTAACACCGACTGGTCTTCGGACGAGGGGTACGTGGATAGCGCGGACGAACTACCTGCCCTTGTAAGTGACAGTAGTGAGGGCGACCTGCCGCAGCATACCACCTCCCATACGCAATCCCCAGCACAGTCAATGCGATTCATACGTCGAGCCATATACTTGGGCAACACAGCGAATACGGATAGACCTACGAAGTGCCAACCAGTAGGTAACGTAGCCATCAAATGCTGTTAAGAGACCTTCAACCAGTGCGGCCCAGTCACCCTAACTGCTATAGGTATGTACACATATATATCAATCTGCCACTTTAATAGTTAGAATTCGGCGTCTTCTTCAGACGCAACTCGCATATGCGTCCTAAAACCCGGATCATTGCCCATTATGATTGCATGCACCAAAGGAGATTCTTGAATGTGGTTCACCAGACAGGCAGCTGCCACATCACTAAGCAAATGATTGCTGATCAATTCAATGGTGTCCCTATATTCGAGCAGAGTATTGTCACCTGCATCTACACAGTTATCAATAACTCCCTGGAACTGTTCTTAAGCCGACTGCGATCGGTCTAACCACTTCTGGGCCATCAAGTTCGTCTTCATAAGTCTGGACAAGGTATGACGTTCAGTATGAGGTAGCAGGCGAAATGCCGAGACCCATAGTAATCAGGCCGCATACGTGCCCACCAGTGTGACCCGTTGTGCTGCCGGTGTCTCTGGTGTACCAGGGTCCACCGAATCGTGATATGCGTCCACATAAGTCCTGTGCACCGTATATGTTTTGCCATTATAGCGTAGCTTGTGCATGTTCACATGTGTAACTGCTTGGACCACGGCCGGATCGTACCACATGCGCGTAAGCCTATGTTGACCGACATCGCGCCAGAACCTCACCCGAGCCCTTACCGGAAAGCTGGAAGTTTCATGCGGCGTTTGTCGGCCGCCACCTGTGCGGACTGCTGCGCACGAATATTTAGCCGATGGCCGACTTTGTCATGAGGAACCGCCAAGAACCCGCGCTCCGTGAGGATCATGTTACCTTATTTGTCCTCCAATGCCAGCCTTTGCATGCCGTCATATATTCGACTCGTATGGATAAAATGAGGACTCATCATCTTGCCCGACCGCGCCGTCGAGTTGTAACTGGCAGCACAATCGTGGATGTTGGATACCCATTCATCCAAGGAATGCTGATCCGCACATCGTGCAAGCCACTCAGTAAAAGTACGAATAAAGCGCTCCACACGGCCATTACCTTCGTGGTGTGCGACTGTACAGGGGCGATACGTTATTCCCCTGGCAAAACACCACGTGCTGAATTGGGTGCCGAAGACCGAATCTGGATCCCCTTGTGCGACCTTGGGAACGCCCCAGGGGAGGATTTGCTCTTGCACAAATGCTATCACCGCCGCTGTGGTCTTAGCCCGGGGTCCCTTCTTAGTGTACACACGTACGACCAATAAGTTTGAGAACATGTTGGTCGCGCACAACAACATGCACTCCCCGCATGTGGCCTTTGAGAAATGAACAAAGCCCATGTTCCATCCTTCCGAGCGCCCAGTAACTAGCACTAGTGTCTGCTGAAGCAAGCCCTTCGATATATGTCCGATCAGCCCATGCCGCTGGCAGGACTCGCTGACCAAATGGACTACGCGAACCTGATCTCGGAGCCCCTCCCAGCCAAATAGAGAATCAATAAGGAGTTCTAGCCTGCGCATGCCACAATGGGAGTAGAGCGCATGCGTGTATCGAAGAACTCTGACTACTTGTGCTGCCGTAAGGAGGACGCCCCATATACTTCGGACGGGACACGCATGTAAGGTGGTCCATGGATCAACATTTGGTGAGGAAACGCCACAGGCCTGCTCGGCCCTGTCCAATGACGCCGCTAAGCAGCCCACCACTTGTGGTACCGGCGTCTGAACCGAAGCGAGCATCGTACGTTGCTTATACGTGGGTGTCCGTCCTGCCCAAGAATTCGGGGCCAGAGCTGCAGGGAGAACCGCCGTATCTGCTATTGGTGGCTCAAGCGGCGCATTAAAGCGTACCCACACATCCTCTGACAGTCTAAAGTCTGTTCTGGGCCCTAACCTCGCCCCTACCAATGCAAATCGGGGCGCTTGTTGTACCATATGACCATGACACAAGTAGGTGCTCGCCGTGGCCGGTATGTACACCGGCACGTCCGCTAATCGGGACACAAACAAAGGGAACCACCCAGCTGTTGGCCAGTACGGCACCACTATTGTCACACAGGCCCGGTCACGTTGCACCTTACTAAGGACTTCCGGGAGCAACGAGAACGGGGGTTCATGTACCAGTTGACTGTGGTGTCGCCCCCAAAACCGACGAACACTCCTCCTTCCAGTGTTGGTGAACAATAGGCACTAAGCTGCTGGTTGCCCGGTAGAGCGAAGACATCTATGGTATGGAGGTCATACCGCTTCTCTAGCACCCGAAACCAGGATGCAGACAGCCTGTGTACTTAGGCTGCAAAAGTGACCCTGAGCTCTGTACGCCCCCTTTTGACCCGCATAATCGGATCAATGCCTGTACACAGCCGTGACATGACATCTGCCACTGGATTCTCTGCCTTTAACATAGACCACCTGGATGTCAAAATCACGCAGTATGCCATGGCATCGTTGCTGTCGACGTTCCCTTACTGTGTTGGAGAACGCATGTAGTTCTCGCGCACAGATAGCTATAAGTGGTTGATGGTCGGTATACAAGAATGTTGCTGGAATGGCTCTTCTGATGACAGCGACATTCTTCTGTACCACAAAGACTGTGCCAAGCAGATCTATGTCCAGAACGTGGTAAGGAATCTGGGCGGAATCGAATTTAGATCCCGCAAATGAGACTGGGAGATATTGCCCATCTCGTCATCACCATGCATACTCCACCAACACCAACAAAGTTACATGCATCCGAAAACACACACAACTGCTCGGACATAAGAGGCTCCACCAGAGTGGCACAGTGCCGAAGCAAGTATGCACATTCCTCGAATACCCTCTGGTCTTATTTCGTCCAGATGAACTTTACATCCTTTTTTAAGAAGGGCCACTATACAGGCCATGACCCTGGTGAACAGGCCATGGTATGATACTACGACCGAGCCAAATCTTGTGAAGTAGGAGCGCTATGATTCAAAAAATCTCGCAGACGTTCATCGGTAATTGTGCTGCCTCGCCATTCCACCGACCTCCCAAGTAGTACTACTGCCTTCCGTTATGCGGCAAGCGTACATTTGTTGAACAGCAACTGTACTCGCCTTGCTTTGCAAGCGTGTACAAATTTCAGTAGACATACCCAATGTTCCGTTGGGAATGTATCACTCCACCAGGCCATGGTATGATACTACGATCGAGCCAAATCTTGTGAAGTAGGAGCGCTATGATTCAACAAATGTCGCAGACGTTCATCGGTAATTGTGCTGCCTCGCCATTCCACTGACCTCCCAAGTAGTACTACTGCCTTCCGGTATGCGGCAAGCGTACATTTGTTCAACAGCAACTGTACTCGCCTTGCTTTGCCAGCGTGTACAAATTTTAGTAGACATACATGTTCCTTCGGGTCATTGTGACCAAACAATAGGCCATCAATGTACCACATGACTGCTTTCAGAAACCCAAACACCAACCCTAGCGCTTGATGCATTCTCCATGAGGCTTCCTTCAGGCCAAAAGGCATGTCTATGAAAAAGTTGAAGCCCCATGGAGTATTCAATGTCAAGTGCTTCGTAGGATTTGGAGCCACGAGGATCTGGCAAAAGCTCTGGCCAAGGTCTGCCGTCGTAATCCAGTCCTTTCCCTTGACGTTCGCTAAATATTGCTTCTCCGTTGGAATGTAGTATGGGGTTGCTTGGAGTTGGTCATTGATCAACTTTAAGTTGATACACGTTCTCCATCCGTTGGCATTCACCGGGACCACTCCTGTTTCTTAAAAACCGAGTGTGTCGCCGAGCACCAACCTTGGTCTGTTACCCGACCAATTATTCCTGCCGCCTCCCAGGCATCCATCTTCTCCTTCACTATTGATACCTTTGTGAGATCTTTGTCCATGTAATAAATGGCCTTCAGCACTGCCTGTGGTATGTCCTGAATGACGAGAGGCGGCACATCCACGAACTTAAGATATAATACATTGTACGCCACCGTCTGTATGTATTTGATGAGGGTTTCTATTGCCAGAGAAGACGTATTCACAGTCGCGGCTAATTGGTATATATCCTCAAAGTTTCCCATTTCATGGCCCGGCAACGCCCCAAAGTTCTCTTTTGTCTGATGCTCGATTTCAGCTCATGACGTATGGTCGATGAGCTTGGGCAGATAGATTGGATCGGTCGCCGTACGCACCTCCTTCACCATACGCTGGAAAGCTGCTTCTCTAGGCACATACACCACTCCTATGGGCCTTGACGTCTGAAGAAGTTGTCTCATTGCTGCTTCCAACTCCATCCTAGGAACCACTGTTAAGGTATGCTCTTTTCACAATAAGTCCATAACACTGTAGTGTTTTATATCCCACTAGTATCGAAGTACCATAGGGGAGTGATTGTACCACCAGTCAGTCATTGAGTAACACCCTCGCTTGTTTGTGCCATATTTCTATTACCAGTGTTACACTCAATGACCCTGTAAGTCGCAATGTTTCCAACGCCCCAATTCCAGAAAGTGACATGCCCTCATAGGGCACTATTGGTAGTACCAATTGGTGTGCAAAATCATGAAAAACTAATGTGGGAACAGGTCCCGTGTCCACATCAATCTTTATTTTGATTCCTCTCACCCATGCCTGCACTACCGCCCAATATCAGTAGGCCCCCTCTCTTGCCCCATGCTGTATGAGACTGCTCGTAGTTGAATTGTTGTTAATCAACACTAGCTGTCGCTAAGGTTGCTACTGGAAGGACTGTCCCTGCCATGCCTGGGTCACCATAGGCCATCGCTGGGCCCGATGTGTAAACCGACGTCTGTGGCATTATGGGTTGCTGAATCACAGCACCTCCATTTACTCCCGTTCCCACGGGCTGGGCTGCTGCCACTGAAGGTGCTCTGATTGCCACTCCCCCTTGTCCTGATTGAGACGTAGGAGTAAAGGTATAAATGCATACTACTCCCATATTCTGCATGGGAGGAAATCTTGGCTGACCTTGTGGCAAGCTTCTTCCTAGCCCCTTACCCCCTTTTCCATGGCCTCCTTCCTTGCGCTCACTCGCTCGCTTTCTCTTCAGCACCGGACACTGGTACTGTCGGTGCTTCATAGAATTGCAGCTGTAGCAACCTCCATAATTAGGTCATAATCCTCTTTTCTTACGCTTGTAAATCAGCGGGTTCCTATAGTAAAAGCACATGATAACGTATATAATAAACGTAATAACGTTTAAACGCTATTACTATTAGGAAACCTGGCATAGGTTGAAACGCAATTGTAGATAATTGTATCTGTATAATAATCAAATAATCTAATTATAGATTTATTGAATTTACAGAAAACAAACAAACAAATAATCTAATTTGGCTATTTGGAATTACAATTGTATACGACCGAGGCCAGAGACCCTGCTGATATTGATATGATGGTTTTTCTACACTGATGTGTTTTCCATCAGAATATTGGGACACAACACTGGGCGAGTCTCAAGTGATATTGACACTTGATGACACATGTTGTTTTACCAAATACTCTTAGCGCGAGATAGCCTACTGAGAAATGGGGTATAAAAATGATCCCCCCTAGCCAGCCAACTAGATGTGCCCGTCTATGCCTTCAATGGGATGAGAGCTAGGTACCATGTGATGGGGTATAGGTACAGTCATTTAACTGTACCATCATGGTGTTTTTGATTTCTTTTATTTCTTTTAAGTTGGACTTAGAGTTATATTTATTTGCGATTGGAAGGTAAATTCGAGGCATGACATGGTATAGAAGATAATAATCTGATCTTAGTTACTGACACCGAATATATCTAGACCGAAGTATTGAGTGATTAGAGCGGAGCCATAAAGACAATAGTCTCAGTCTTACATCCCCTAATCTTTAGCTCATTACCAAGGGCTGAAGCTAGACTTAAAATTACATTGTGCAAATTTACTTTGAAATCTTACTTTTCTTTTACGTTAACTTATTGAAACCGATAGTCAGCCTGGTTAGTCTGACTTTTACATATTTTTAAGTTTATACACTATCGGAAGAATATGACGAAGAGTAAAGGGAAAGCGAAGGCATCAAAGAACCAGCCGAAGGTTACGCCTTTTGAACCCTCGTTGGCACCTGACCCACAAGCGGATGAAGCTGTGACAAGTATGATGGCACACGCTTTACCCGCGGATTCCTTTGATGAAGTTACAACGGGCAAGACCAAGCCCAAGAAATCAAAGAAATCCAAGGAGAAGAAAAATCCACCGATGGAGTCAGCTGACGAGATACCGAAGCACAAGCAGATAGAATCGGGACCGGGAGACCTAATACCACACGGTAAAGGAGCCTTAAAATCTGACTTAGAACAGGGGACGGACTCTGGAGGAGAAGATTCAGACGATCGGGACACAGATGACTACCTGCGCGAACTGCGAAAATTGGCGGCTGAATTTTAGGAATAAAGAGAAATCTAAGAGTTCTAGCGGAGACGAGGATCAATCGTCGCCCATATTGAAGAACCAGACTCGTCAGGACCAGATTACTTGCCGCCATCGGCCAAGCAGTCGAGGACATCGACGACGATGACGACTCGCAAGAAGGCACGAAAGGATGACGGTGACGATGGAGACAATCAGTAACTACATGGTCTGAAGGAGATGGACACGCAATTTGATGAGATTTCAGAGAGTGACAAGAATATTACTGATTTCACTGCTCGAATGCTAAACTAGCAATGGGTCAAGGAAGGTTAGAGCAAGCCAGTTTGAGAAGGACAATGACGAAACACTTTCAATCCAAGATCGATACGGAGCTACGCATCATACACGCCGAGAAGACAGTGGACAGTAAAAAGTTCGTCAAGGACATATTAAGTTATCCACTACATATCGTCCCGATCGAAAAGACCGTTAGGACCCTATCGATACGAGTAACTTAGCATTATTGTCGCGATCTTTGAAAGAATTTGGTCAAATTATGCTCCCTGCAAATTTAAGTAAGATCCTATGGTTCGAGGCTGCGCAACAGAGTTTTAAGCCGTCATCTTATAATTATACTAAGTTGGAGTAGGCTAAAGCTGCTATAACAAAGCTAAAGACGTGGAAGGAGCAGAGCGAAATGATAGTCCATCTATTTTCAACCGATCCTAGACCGGAACTATTGGTATCGATAATGGTCCTGGACACTCACAGAACACATGCTCAAACACAAGAAATGTTGCGAGACAAGTTGAGTATGTGTGTGTTATGGGTACAAACTATTTTCTGGTCGGCTCTACATAGAAAAGACCAAGAAGTGTTGTACGCAGATATGCACCAATCTTTTCCAGACAAAGTGCGTGAGATTTCAATTGAAGGCCAACTTACGGCATCATGAAACTTGCCGACTTGACTTGGACTGAATTTTATTCGAGAGCAGACCAGACGTTTTCGAAACGTCCGAGTTCTGTGGAGAAATTCGCACCGTCTACTAAGAAGACGGTACCCAGCACGAATGGAGGACCAGGTAACGGTCGAGACTCTCATACGGGTACGAGAAATAACAAAGGGAACAAAGGTGGTGCCAGAGGAGGCCATAAGAACAAGCAAGTGCAAGGTACTGATGGTCAAAAGAACAATGTCAACACTCACGGGACTTCGGGCAACAGATTTAATTAGGCAGCTGATCCTCCTAAACCTAAGTATAAGGAGACCAAGGACTGTACCGAGACAGATTGCAGCTGGCGCATGACCCAACATGAGCCGAATGGACGCTGGAATGGCAGGCACGCAGAAAAGTGTGAACATTTTATCGCGAAGTGTGAAGACTGTGAAGGGACTGGAGGTTACCACAAACATATATGTAAGGTGCAACCGAAAGTAGAAGTTAAGTGACAATCTGACCGGATCTTGGCACTGAAACAAAAAGGATGCACCGCAAGATGAGCGCGTCATCCTGGATGTACGAGTTAATGGGCATGAAATAAAAGCGTTGTTGGATCCGGTCTCGCAAATTTCATGTCTATCATCGAGATTTTGTAAGATAACTGATGTAACTCGTAAATCAGAACCTACTATGTTAAAATTGGCTGACGAAAGGGAGATTACGTGTCGTGACATGACCGTAGATTTGAGGTTTACCCTAACAGATCAACGGACCACAGTGACTAGGGCAGTAGTCTGTAACACTTCGCCAGCTTATGATTCAATAGTGGGGATGGGAGACCTGTTATCGTTAGGTATGACAATCTACTATCATTGACCCACAGAAGGATCAGTCAGATGACAATCTGCTGAAGCCTGTACACAAGCCTTCTAAGACTGTGAAGGAAATGATACCCCAATTAACAGAAAAGCTGAAGGATCTTATCTTTGAGAACGACAAGATAAAGAGACTCGGCTCAGTTTAAATTCAACAACGGATACGTGAGCTTAGATTTGACAAAAGTAGACTTTTCGAAGTTGAAATGCCCAACGCGAAATTATGTAGCGTGGCGTCATGAACAGGTGGTACGAGAACAAGTCAAGGCATGGTTGGAAGACGGAGTAATTGCAGTCAACCACGAGCCCACTCCTGTCAACTTAGCACTCTTAGCTGTCGACCAGTTCAACTCCTATGGCACGTTAATCGCGTGTGTTTGGATACGAGTCCTATAAACGCTCTTTTACCCACACATAATTTCCATTTACCAAGATTCAATGAATTGCTGAGAAGAACGGAAGGTGCGAAAATATTTTCAACCATCGATCTGAAGCAAGGCTACCACCAAATGAAAATATACAAACCACATCGGAAGTATTTCACCTTCACTTGGGATGGCCAGCAGTATTCTTTTAAAGGAGCCCCTTTTGGTTTACATATGCTACCAGCCTTCTTTCAGCAAATCATGCAAGACCTGTTTAGGGATATGGACAATGTACTGGTATATATCGATGACATTGTCGTGTTTACTAAAACCAAAGAGGAGCATGACAGGGTTATAAAAGAGGTACTGGCCATGCTTAACAAACACAGGTTTAAAATCATCAGCAAGAAATGTCATTTCGGAGTGAACGAGATACAGCTGTTGGGCTATCGTGTATCTGGGGATGGCATAATGATTGACCCCGGAAAGGTAGAACACTTACTAGACTGGAGATCCCCCACTACAGGCAAGGACGTGAACAGCATGTGCGGTTTCGTTAACTTCCTGTCAGATGGAGTCCCACACCTGGCAAGCTACTTGAAGCCTTTCGGACATTTGAGATGTCACAAGGGCAAATTAGGAGTATTGTGGACCAAGGACTGTGATGATGCCTTTAAGCAGCTCAAAACAGTGGTTAAACAAGCCCCAGTAGTCCAGCCACCACAAGATAGAGTACCCTTCATGGTGGCTACAGACGCATCCGATATGGCGTTGGGAGGTGTTCTGTATCAAATGATTGACGGGAAACCGAGATACGTGCAGTTCTTTAGCAGAGCTATGAACTCGTCACAAATCAATTATCCGACTGTGCAGCAAGAGCTATTAGCTATTGTGACCGCACTCACTCATTTTAAGGATTGCTTACACGGTACACATTATAATGTACTGTGTGATCAGAAATCGTTGCAACATTTAAAAGATATGAAACCAAATTCACAAATGATCAGTCAATGGCACGATACGATCGCAAAGTTTTCTTTTAGCATTACACATATACCGGGTATACACAATCATTTCCCGGATATGCTGTCATGCTTCGTACCGGATATCAACACGATGGTTCGGGAATTACTAGCTACGGATTGGAAGGCCAATCCTAGGTGGTTTAAAATTGCAGACAACATACATGGACCACATACCATCGATATGTTTGCAGTACATCATATTGCGCAACTGCCGCGATACCGGACTCTGGAACACCCAGGCGGTGATGGGTTTCAAATCGATTTATCCGATGAGAACGCATGGGCGAATCTACCGCGGTTGTTGATACCACAGTTGCTATATTATGTTCATATACAAGATGCTACCACCACGTTGTGTTGTCCCCTAAGACATTCAGATAAATGGCTACCACAGTTGATATCGATGATACAACGTGAGCCCATATATGTGGATAGAGAGGTAGATACTTTTCTCTACCAGGGTACCCGTACAGTTCAGAAGACTCCTTGGCGACAGACAATAATATGTCGAATAGGTCCAGTTGGTACAACCAAATGGACACCATCCGTCACCTTCAAACGTAAGGTCGACGAATCCAAGATTCCACTCTTGACACCTAAGTCTCAACGAGAGGCTGGGGCGACACACGCACCTGCAGTATGCGTTACCGAGGTAAAATGTGATCCAAAGGATGCAAAGAAGAACTCATCACTAGCGAAGGCATTTTACAAAAGATACGTTCTGACAGAGAAACTGCATACGAGGCCGAAACCAGGCTACTCAAACAGTTGATGAACGATTATCCAGATGTATACGACCATGTAACTCAACTAATGAACAAAGAGAGCATTAGTAGAATTCACACGGCCGACCTTTCAGGCGAGATTGGACGAGACGAGTCTTCGAGTCCAGGTGAAGTAGTAGTGGATTCCTTACCTCCAGATTTTGATATAGCAAGATCAACGGAGGGTGACGTTCTGAAGTGGCTAAGACAGAATCATGCACTTAAACACTTGGATAAGGTTAGGACTGAGAAAGATTGCAAGAGGTACGGGGTTGTACACCCAAAGCTCAAGCAATATATATCTCAGGTGTATCACGAATGTAACGTTTGCGAAGTTGCGCTATGGATATGCCCCATTGCGGAGTGTATCAGAAGACGAGCCATGGCGCAGGGTTATCATTAATTCGATTGAGCTACCCACGTCTGAACACACGAAAGATAAGTAGGTCTGCCACGTTTTTGATGTCGCGGAATCATGCACTCAAACACATGGATAAGGTTAGGACTGAGAAAGATTGCAAGAGGTACGGGATTGTACACCCAAAGCTCAAGTAATATATATCTCAGGTGTATCACGAATGTAACGATTGCAAAGTTGCGCTATGGATATGCCCCATTGCGGAGTGTATCAGAAGACGATCCATGGCGCAGGGTTATCATTGATTTGGTTGAGCTACCCACGTCTGAACATACGAAAGATAAGTATGTTTGCCACGTTTTTGATGTCGCTTCAAGATATATTGTATTATATCCTTTAAAAGACAAATCAACACCAACGGTGGCTAAGTGCATTTATAAGTGTTTCGCAGATTTCGGCTGGCCAGCTATAGTATGTACCGACAATGGTAGTGAGTTTACAGGAGACGTCATGACGACGCTGTTACTCGTTGCTATAAGTTTCGGTCTATCAAGGCGATATTAACGCCTTAGAGTAATTAAACGCTTAGGTTAAGTCCAAGTATAGTTAAGTTTGAAAGAAATAAACGAAATCAGTCTTGTAGTAAAGTTGGGTATACCTCGTGAAAACAGCAATACTCTGAGGGATTATGAGGCTGAGACATTGCCTATATATAATCCTCTCAGTACTGTTTTCGCCGAAGGGATTTTTTTTTTAATGTTTCGTTGTCGCTCTATTAGAAACTATGGTATGTTTCGTTGGGGCGAATCCGAGAGACTCGTAAAATCCTGTCTTTAGAAAAAAGAAAAGAAAAACAAAAAAAAAACTCTTGATGTCCATAGTTAATGCATTAACTAATAACTTGCCACTTATCAAGAATTACCGACTTAGCCTTCATCGGACTGGCACATCTGGTTGGCTGAACGGAGGATAAGCTAAGCAACGCTAATAGTCCTTTGAAACCTATGTTCTGTTGAGCCATTTCGCTACCGAAGTATTCAGATATAAATAGATTTGGAAAGTAAATATAGTTCTATTAATAGAACTAGACCAAATCTTAGGTTTGTTATTTTACTGAGGCCTTTTAATGGCCTTGTCCAAATATCTGATATGTAAAATGGAAAAGGTATTAAATAATAAAACCGTTAAAAACCATTTAGGAAACTTAAGTTCCTCGTACTATTAAGAGTACGTTTATAATTTACGTACTGATTAAGAGTACGTTTATAACATAGAGTCTAATGTGGAGGCCCGGCTATTACAATAAAGGATATATTTTGAAGAATTCAGCAACTCCAGTTTTGAAGCATTACTAGCAAAAGAATGGTTTATGGGAGTCATTGGAGAGTCAAATGGCGACCAATAATTGGTCAGATCGCACGGCTCGAGTAGATCCCATACCACTGATGACGGTATACCAGGTGGCAACCATTGTCAAACGCTTACAAGAGTATTCTGAGCTGGAGAACACCAAAGTAGTGGATAAACCAGTGCAACGTATCGGAGACACTCAGTCCAGGTTGTGTGTGGCAGTTATTTGATTGACCTATGGCATGGATGTGGAATATCAAAGTTACCAGGATATGTTGACTAGGTTCTAAAACATGAGCGAGGCCCATAAAAAAAACTGTTGTACGGATTAATGATTCGTTGTGGTCCTTCGGCATTCATCAGGGCGGGCATGTTTGTAATGTTAACGGAAGAGCGCCGACAGAATCATGGCATGAAGTTATTGTGCAAGCCGTAGAAGCAATGAAAACTCGTGTTAAGATGATAGTGTTAGATAACACCCCTCCACCTCTGAGAGAGACTTTTAGAGCTGTGTATCAGGTGGGAGGGATTGCACGTCCTGGAAAAGCTTTGCCTTCTGTAGCTACTCTCAAGCAGTTCTAACAAGCGTGTAAAAGTCAGACTAACCAGGCTGACTATCGGTTTCAATAAGTTAACGTAAAAGAAAAGTAAGATTTCAAAGTAAATTTGCACAATGTAATTTTTTAAGTTTAGCTTTAGCCCTTGGTAATGAGCTAAGTATTAGGGGACGGTATTCATGCATTATAACGTCCCTTGCCCTACCACAACACTCATTGGGGGGTAAATGTCATGCTGCTAAAACCCGTGTAAGCTTCGATGGATATTTCTACGTTTTAAACTATGTTATATAAACTAAAATACAATTTAAGTCAGTTAGGATTTAGCAGTGGTAGCTTGTGTAAAAATGATGGGAACAGCATCGTGGTAAGAACCAATATCCTCGACCACACAGGACGTACATCTAGCTGTTCTTTATTGAATAATTTTCACTAAAAGTACTAAGTGTTGATGACCACATGTCTAATTTGTAGATAGACAACATAAGAATGTAAATCAAGTTAATACATTCGCTAATACAAATAAAGTTCTATCTGAAGAAAAATTTAAAAAGAAAAAGACTTATTGGATTTTGGAAATTGACGGGAAGACCAAAACCTGTAGGCAGTACTTAAGAGATTATGTAATTTAGTTTATAATATCCTACATCTACTATCGTTTCTAAAT